TGAGTCACTTTAATCCAATTCACTTGCAAGTCAAGACATCACCTTCCTGATGTCATTGGTCCTCTTTGAGAGCAAAGAACAAACAATGACAGACAATAAACAAAGATTTTTAAAAGTCTCTACCACGTGCAAGGGACTTCTAGGACTTTTTTTTCCTGGTCTTGTGAATTGAGTAGCTTAAGGAGCTCCCTGGCGAGGAGACGCTTCACCAACGTAAGCTGGCACCTGTTTTGTGACTTCTTGTCTGAGAGGAAGGAACAACGACAAAACAACTAGAGTATTGTGAAGTGCCTGTTGTGTGCCAGGCACTCTGCTAAGGGACTTAAAGCATCATCTCACTCGGTCCTCAGAACAACCCTGGGCAGGGGCTGCTATCGTTATCCCCATTTTATAGTTGAAGCGCCTGAGGCTGAGTGACTTGCCCAGGGTCACACAGCTAGTAAATGTCTCAGGCTGGATTTGAATTCAGGTCTTCCTGATTTCAGGCCAGTACTCTCTCCACCTGTGCTGCCTAAGACTGAGAGAGGCCATGCCAGTTTTAGCATGGTCAAGGAGATGGGTTCAACTCTTTTTTGAGCCAGCTAACTCAGCTGTGCTCCATGACAATAACCTGGAACAGGCTCCCCAGGGTTGGGGTGATAGTCCCTAATCTGCATTTTCAAATGTCTATTGTTACTCACAGGGGGAGCAAGGCAGGATACTGAGGCTGAATCAGGCCAATTGACTACCACTATGGCAAACCCCTAAAGGCCCAGCTGTGTATATGTCTCTGATTCCCTGCATATCTCTGTACAAATACATATTTCTTTTTTCTTTTTTAGGCCATTGGGATTAAGTGACTTGCCCAAGGTCACACAGCTAGTGTCAAGTGTTTGGTCTGAGGCCGGATTTGAACTCAGGTCCTCCTGACTTCAGGGCCGGTGCTCTATCCACTGCAGCACCTAACTGCCCCCCAAATACATATTTCTTAAGATGGAGTATGTCTGGGGAGTATGGGGGGGTATGTCTGTATGTGTGGTTATTGAATTATGGCTCTCTCTGTGGGGGCCTGTATTCAGCTGATATGTATCTAAGCCAGTACCAAAGCAAGGAAAGGGACTTACTTGGATTTGGAGCTGGAAAACCTGCATTTGAATCCCGGCTCTGCCTCTTAGTACTTGTGTAACCCTTAACCTCCTTGGGCCTCAGTTTTCAAATCTGTAAAATTAGAGGCTTGGATAAGGTGATATCTGAAGTCCCTTTCAGCTCTAGCCCTATGGTCTTCAGTTACAATTAGGATAATGGAACTAGGTTTCAAAAGCATTTAAAAATGTAGCTTTTGTAAACCACTTTGAAAATCTTAAAGCACTATAGAAATGTCAGCTCTCATCATGATTATCACCAGCGTCTGTATACTCTGTGTGTGTTTATCTGTTCTTAAATGCCAACCTGTATTTTCTGTGTGTATTTGTGTGTGTGTGTGTGTGTGTGTGTGTGTGTGTTTGTAGTACAACATTATTATAACACAGTTTATCAGTACATAGATTTAGTGGCAGCTCAGGTCAAATCATGCCTTTGGGAACATAACAGCTGCATGTGGACACAGTCTGGTGTAACAGGATTAGCTATGAGACAGGTGTTTGCCCTGGTCCCTGAACATGGTGTGGTCAATGGGTTACTCCCTGGGCTTGTGTGCAGGTGTGTCTGTGTACAGAATCTGTCATTACTGCTCAGTGTGTATCTCTGTACATGTATTCCATATGTCAGTCCATGTCTAGAAAAACCCCACAAAAACAAAACCACCCTGAATTCTTACCTGAATGAATGACTGAATGGTTTCCATTTATAGTGGGATCCTAGCTTTAGAGTTGTAAGGGACCTCAGAGGTCATCTGGTCCATCCCCCTTTTTTGACAAAGGAGGAATCAGAGGTCCAAGACAATAAAGTCTGAGGCACAAGGTCCCATGGATAATATATGGTAAAGGCAGAATTTGAACCCAGCTTCTCTGATCCAAATCCAGTCCCCCTTGTATTTGGCTTCCTGCAGACTCAGCTCCTACATATCTATGTGGGGTATACAGTCAGTGTGCATGGGGTATGTGGGGATGACAGGGGATAATTACATCTCGCTGGAGAAGAGTGTGTCTGTAGGAATGCATGTGTTTGCACACTCTCTTAGTCTTTTGTTATTAGGACCTGCATACCCAGGGGTGGGTGCTGAGGCAGGTGGATGCATGTATTTTGACTTATATAATCTGTGTGTGTGTGTGTGTGTGTGTGTGTGTGTGTGAGTGTGTGATCTATGACCCTTCCCCAGGATTTTCTTTCCCTTCTGTGTTATTTGTATCCCTAGTAAATCTCATCTTGGTTTTGCAGGACCATTTTCCAACTGGTCCATGTCTCTTGGGCATTTCTTCCCAACTTCCAGAGCATTAAGCACTTAGTGAGGAAACTCTCTCTGCTGATATAGGTGCAGATTTGTGCCTGCTCAGCAATTTAGAGCCTCAGAGTGGGCCACGGAGGAGGAAAGCAAATTATCCAGGATCTCACACACAATATGTGTCAGAACTGAGACTGGAACCCAGATCTTCCCGATTACCTGGCTGGCTCTCTATTATGCCACAATGCCACCTGACCCCATTTTACAGATGAGCAAATTAAGGTCTAAGGAAGTTAAGTGACTTGCCCAGGATCACTCAGCTAGCAAGCATCAGAAGTGGTAGTGCTTTTACCTGATGCCTAGCCTCCTCCTACTTCCTGAGAACTCTGTTTCTCACTCTAGTACTCTCAGGCTATATAACACTTCAGCCCCTCTTTGTCTTTTAGGTCAATTCTGTCTTGCTCTAAAAAACAAACAAAACTCATTCGACCCTCCTTTCACAGCTCAACTCTTTGAATAAATGCCCTGTACCTACAGCCTCAATTTTCTTATCATCTTTTTATTTGCCTTTCCCCCAACTCCTTGTTTATTTTTGCATGGCAGGGGAGGCAATTGGGATTAGGAGACTTGTCCAGGGTGTCACTGCTTGTAAGTGTCTGAGGCTGGATTTGAACTTAGGTTCTTCTGACTCTAGGACCGGTGCTCTCTCCATCATGCCACCTAGCTGCACCCTCCACCTCCTTTTCATGTGGGTGCTTCTCTCATCACTCGGTCAAGACTGTTCTCTCTAACATCATCTGGCCAAATCCAGCAGTATTTCACAGGGTTATTGATTTAGAGAGAATCTAGTTCAACCTTCTCATCTTTTCTCCTAAGGAAACTGAGGTCGGAGACCTTAAGTGATATGCATGGATGGTTAAGTGCCAGATGTGGTTTTTGAACCTGGGACCTCTGGCTCCAGATTGAGGTCTTTCAGTTCAAATCACTAAATGTTTATTTTTTAAAATAAATGTTATTGATATATTTTGTTTTAAATTGCCTAATTTCCCCCCGTACCCACCCCCCCCAGAGCCATCCCATAAAACAGAATATTTTTTTTACTAAGTATTTATTAAGCTTCCAGTATGTGCTTACTAAGCTTAGTCACCTAAGTACTAGGAATAGATATAAAAACAAAAACTCCCTGCTTTTCAGAAGCTTAAATTCCTAATTTCCCTCTTACTGTTGAGGGTACCCCTCAGCTCCTCACTATCCCTCACCCCCGTGTCCAATCTGTTGCTGAGACCTGTCAATTTTACCTTCAGAACATCTCTTGCATATACCTCACTTTTCTCTGTTCTGATGCTGCCCCTACCCTGGTTCAGTCCTTCACACCTGACTACTGAAGTAACCAGCTGGTTGATCTGCCTGCCACAAATCTCTCCCCAGTCCATCCCCCCCACTCAGCTGTCCAAGTGATCTTCCTAAACTGCAGGTCTGATGATGTCATCCCCTACGCCCACACACTCTATAAACTCCAGTGGCTCACTATCACCTCTAGGATCAAATATAAAATCCTTTCTTTGGCGTTCAGAGCCCTTCATAACCTTCCTCTCCTCCCCATTTTTCCAGTCTCTTTGCACCCTCCTTCCCCACATACCCTGCATCCAATGACACCGGTATTGTGTCATTGTTCTTCCCACAAGACCCATCTCCCAACTATCTGTCCCTGTGCCTGGAATGCTGTCTGTCACGCCTCATCTCTGCCTCATGGCTTCCTTCAAGTCCCAGCTAACATCTCATCTTCTATAGGAAGGTTTTGCCAATTCCCTTTAATTCTAATGCCTTCCTGTAGTTTGTCCTGAATATAGGTTGTTTGTACATTGTTGTTACACATCGTCTCCTTCATTAGACTGTGAGCTCTTTGAGGGCAGGGACTGTCTTTTATCTAGTAGATAATAAATACATATTTAATTAGTTTTTTAATTAAATTAATATTTGTTGACTGATTGACATTCTAAGGAGAGAAATAACATGTACCCATGAAAATGTATAAAAAGTAAATCCAGAGTAATTGGGGGGGAGGTGGGGGAGCAATAGCAGCTGAGGGGACATTAAGAAAGGCTTCATTGTAGGAAATAGCACATGAGCTGAGCTTTGAAGGAAACAAGAGATTCTAAGAAGTGGCAATTTGGAGGGAGGGCATTCCAGGCACGAGGGGGTTGGGGGGGGGTGTCAGCCTGCAACGGCAAGATGAGAGATGGAATGTCGTGGGAAGAACAGCAGGTAAGCCAGCTTTGCTGGAAAGTAGAGTACATGAAAGGGAGTGATGAGGAAGGTGGGTTGGAGCTGGGTTGTGAAAGGCTTTAAATGTCAGAGGAGTGTGTATTTTATCCAGAGGGAATAGACAACCCCTGGAGCGTTTTGACCCAGAAGGCCTATCTCCGTTTCCATAACCTCCATTGTTATCACTAATGATGAGCCAAGGCTACTGTTTAGTGACTGTGGATGAGTCAAAAGTGCTTTGCGGGGTGGTTTGTGGCCAGCCAGTGGGTGTTAAGTGAGGCTGATAGTTAGGAGGAGAAAGGTTTCCCAAGACATCTCAGAGGCTTGCTTTGGGCCTCCCACATCTTGGCTGAACAGCTTCTGTCTGTGCTCCCAGGAGGAAGAAGAGCTGGAGGAGCCGAGGGGCAAGGAGGAGCGACAGGATTCCAGCACACCCATGAGGAAGGTGGGAAGGCCTGGGCGGAAGCGGAAGCACCCAGTGGTGAGTGTCCTTGGACTCTGCCCAGCCCCTGAGCCAGGGGAAACCCTAAGGTGAAAACAGGTGCGCTCAGAACTCCGGGGTGGGGTGGGGGGGAAACCAAGTTAAAGCAGAGCTCAGGGGCTCCCTGCCCCTGCCCAGGTCGCCCTGACATTTGTGTTCTTGGGTTGGGGGGGACCTGAGCAAAAGAGGCCAAAGAAGAGAGGGTTGCTACAGGACAGTGAGTTAGAAAAGCTGACAGACTAGGTCTACAGATGTTAGAGATATACAATGAAAAAGCTTAGGACCAAATAGGGGAGGTCATGTTCCTTAGTATTTTGCAAAGCTCATCGCCTCCTTGACAAGAATGTTGTCCTTACCTCTAGTGCCTTATGGAATCCCCTCAGGTGCCATCTCATCCAGGAGGCCTTTTTGAACTGCTCTCCTTTCATCCAAGTTGTTCATGCTCTTTTTCCCATCAAACTACCTGCTATAGAAGCATTTTCCTAATCCCCTCAACTGCTGGTGCCCTCCCTCCCGAACCACCTTGATGTAATGCCTCTATTTATTCTCTTTCTATTTATTCTGTGCATACTTGTATGTTTTGTTGGCTCCCTTAGAATGTGAGTTCCCTTAGAATAGGAATTGTTTAATTCACACATTTGTGTCTATAGCCTAGCACATAGTATGTGCTTAAATAAATGCTTGGGGATTGATTGATTGATCAATAGTGCTTAGAAGTTAACTAAGCACTTTTACCTCTATTATCTTTGAGCTTCACAAGGATTCTTTAAGGAAGTCACAGTAGATATTAGCCCAATTTTCTAAATGAGGAAACCAAAGATCCTGAAAGCTCAATGAGGTCATTTAGCTCAAGATAATTTGGCTAATAAATTTTGGGGCCAAGATTTGAATCCAGGACTTCTGATTTCTACACTACTGGTTTTTCTGCCTCATCAACCATTCAATCAATAAGCATTTTCAAGGGCGTACTATGAGGCAGGAGCTAGGGATAAAAATGCAAAGAATGAAACAATTCTTACATTATGTGACAGTTGACAAGTCACCACAGTTTCTGAACGCTGTTTACTCAATTTTAAAATGAGTGGGTTGATTCTTGACTTCATCTTTTATTTTTGGTGAGGCAGTGGGGTTAAGTAACTTGCCCAGAGTCACTCGGCTAGTGTCTGAGGTTGGATTTGAACTCAGGTCCTCCTGACTCTCCAGGGCCAGTGCTCTGTCCACTGTGCCACCTAGCTACCCCTTGACTTCATCTTTTCAAAAGCCATTTTTATTTTCTCATTTTGGTTGCTGAGGTATAGTCCAAATGTGGTGGGTTCCACTGCCATCGATGATGAGACTAGATCACTGAAGACATGTTGGGAAATCTATAAATTTTGGATTTGTTTATTTTCCTTTCAGTTGAATTTATATTTTGGGGGAAGGATGATCTGGGGAAAAAATTAAAATAAAGTGAGTGGGATGGACTTAGTGATGTTGAAGTTTCCCCTCCAGCTCTAAGTATAAAATCCTGTGATCCCATAGGAAAAGAGTATTCCAACTTTTGGAAGGTATCAATTGTCCTTTGAGTGTGAGTTGTGTTCATCTCTTTTTATTTTTTTTTAAATTTTATTAATTTATTTTGATTTATCAACAATCACTTCCATATGCTTTTGAGTTGAAAATTTTTCTCCCCCTTCTTCCCCCCCCAAGACGGCACACAATCTGATATAGGCTTTACATTTACATACCCATTAAACGTATTTTCACATTAGTGAAGTCGTAAGTAAAAATTAAAACCAATAGGAGGAACCATCAGAAAGATGAAACAAAACCCAAAAGAAGGTAAAAATAAGTGATAGCGATTTGACTTCCATAGTTCTTTCTTTGGATGTGGACAGCATTTTCCATCCCGACGCCTCTGGAGATGTCTTAGATCCTTGTAATGCTGAGAAGGGTTCAGTTTAACAATATTAGTCATTGCATAATGTGGCTGTTATTGTGTACAGAGTCCTCTTGGTTCTGCTCACTTCACTCAGCATCAGACCATATAAGTCTTTCCAGGTTTTTCTGAAGTCAGCCTGTTCATCATTTCTTATAGCACAATAGTATTCCATTACATTCATATATACAACTTGCTTAGCCATTCCCCCAATTGATGGGCATCCTCTCAATTTCCAATTCTTTGCCACCACAAAAAGAGCTGCTATGAATATTTTTGTACATGTGGGTCTTTTTCCCATTTGTTTGATCTCTGTGGGATCTCTTTTTATTTTTAAGCAGATGTAGAACATGAGGTACCTGCCATTTCACGGGTACTGGATAGCCCTAGAGTTCCAGGGACCTAGCTATCAGTAAAGCTAAAACAGGACAGGTATCAGCTTCTTCCAGGGTCAGATGATGCAGCAGTATGGCCATTGTCTTGAAGTCAGACTGATCTTGGAGTCAAAAAACCTGGGTCCAGATCCTGCCTCTATCATTGTCCAGACCTCAGACAAGTGACTTCCCTTTTCTGGCCTCAGTTTCTTTAAAATATAAATTTGTAAAATGAGGGAAATCTCCCTTAGAGTAAAAGTTCCTTGAGGACAAGTACTGTTTTTGCCTTTCTTTTAAGAAATACTTCTTGGCTGACTGCCTGAGGGCATTGAGCCAATTTTTAAGGCTCTTTCTAGTTCTCACATTCTATGAAATAAAGAGGTCTGGCCAGGAGCTTCATGTCTGGGTCATGCACCCTAGATCTAGAGATGGAAAGAACTTTTCTTCTAGGTAGATCAGCTATCTGGTCCAATACCCTCATTTTATAAAAACTGAGGCTCAGAGAGAAGTGACCTGGCCAGGACCACTCAGGGAGTCTGTGGCAAAGCCAGGAGGCTAGCCCAAGCCTCGTGACTCCAAATCCAACACTCTTTCTATTGTATCATGCCTTAGTTTCAGGACAGAAGCTGTTTGGAAAGTCCCAGCAATGGTGGAAGCTTTCCAGGGGCATAGTCAGGAGGCGTCCCAATTTTCAGAGGATAACTTGTCTGGATCACAGCCCCTACATGCTTGCCCTACCCATGCTATGTGACTCCTGTCGGCATCCTTCTATAACTTTGCTCCAAGGGGTCCATCCATTATGCTAGAGTCATTGCTTTCTCTTGGCTAGCTTATGCTTTGCCTCATTGGAGGGAACATCCAAATGGATGAGATCACAGTTGCATTTTAGAACTTTTTTTAATCTTCCTGGGGTTGCATATAAAGACAGAAGGCCAGGTTTCCAAGCTATTATAAATACATGCGTGAGTATGCATGTGTGTGCAGACAAATACATCCACAGGGTGGGAAATTGGGGAATTATCCATTGACCTCCAAGCTAGGAGAAAGGAGGCATGCGTGACTTCTGGTGTCTAGGCTGAAATGCAAAAGAAGCTTTGGGTTACCAGTAAGAGAGTTTGGGATCCAGAGGAAGCTCAGGGCTGAATGTTCTTGTGTGATGACCTTCCCATAGATTAAAATAGGAGAGGAAAGAGAAAGTGACTTCCTTAAATGTCTAGTGGGAGCCTAGCTTAGCACACTTGGGGATAATGTTAATGTGCTTTTATTATGTAAAAAATTATAATAATAAAGTAGAAGAAACCATCAGAAAGAGTACTATAAATTACCTGCCAGGGATAAGATGCCTGCAGGGTTCTGGCCTTAGAAGCCCGAGTTGCCTTTGTTAATTCTTCCCTCATGCCCTGACTATCCCTGCCTGTGTCAGCAGCAGTGACTCTATAGCATCTCACTTTGCTGGAGGGAACTGGGCGGGGGGGGGGGGGAATCAGCGAGGAGAGAGGATGTCTCAGCTGAGCCTTGAGCAGAGAAGCTATCATTTAGCTTATGAAGCTGAGCAAATGCATGGCCAGGAACTAATCAAATGAAGTTCTGGGTTTTTTTTTAAGTCATATTTTGTTTTTCTATCACAGCAATTTCTGGGAATGCACTCCCCCACCCCATCCCAAGCATCTCCCCCCCCAACAAAGAAAAACAATTAAGCAAAAACACCTGCTACAATGATCTTCTGACAGTGTAGACCACATCCTGACCTGGTAGTTCCCTGTCTCTGTGCTGTGGGAAGGGAGGTATGGTCTGTATCATTTACCTGTTCTGCTGGACCTTTGCTGGTTTTTTAGCAGCTCCAAAGTCAACTACCTTTTGCTGATCTTTTTCTTTACTATATTTATGTAGTCCTTGTGTATCTGGTTTTCTTGATTCTCCTTACTCTTATCAGTTCATACATATCTTCCCACATTTCTTTTAATTCTTCATATTCCATGACATTCAAGTTTTAAATAAGAATGTTTTGTTCCACTGCCCAGTGGAGAGGCCCCCACCTTGTTTCCATTTCTTTGCTCCCCTCAAAGAACACAAAAGTCTGGTATATACCACTGTATCCAGGGCAACACTATTTATTGTGAAGTCAAATCCTGAGGCACTAAGAACCCCACTGATCCCTGCAATCAAGTAGAACCATGATGAATACTATTTCACATTTATTAGGATTATTTAGCATTTTAATATTTACAGAGCACTCTTTCCCCATAGCAGCCTGGGGAGGAGGTAATGTCAAGATTGTTGCCCCCCTCCCTTTTCCACATGAAGAAACTGGGGCTCAGAGAGTGAAGTGACTTGCCCAGTTCACATTGATAGTTGATGTCAAAGTTGAGATTCCTAGGCAGGTCTAATGGGATCATAGACTTAGAACTGGAAGAGACCCTTGAGGTCATCTAGACCAATATCATTTTACAGATGAGGAAACTGAGGCCCAAGTGGATAAAGGGATTTGCCTGGGGTCATATAGCTAAAAAGTGGCAGAGTTAAGATTTGAACTCAGATGGTGCTCTTTCCATTGGACCACACTCTTTGATTCCAGGTCTGGTGTTCTACTACTACTACTACTTACTACTACTACTACTACTACTACTACTACTACTACTACTACTACTGCTATTGCTACTGCTACTGCTACTGCTACTACTATTGCCTAATATTTATATGGCACTTAC